TGGGGAGACCAAGGACAAGACCGTGCTGGGACATGTGACGCAGACGCGGGAGCGCAGGGTGACCTAGATGGTGGTGCCAGAGGAGAGTCGGGTGAGTGAGGGACCGACAGGAGCAGGCAGCAGCAACCTGGGTAGACGCAGCCACATGAGGGGGGGCCCCAGGCGGGGGGGTCACGGTGTCTAGAGTGAACAGGCCGGACACCGGGTCCCGGGGGAACGTGGACAGGGGGGCACCAGTGGCGGCCTCGGTACAGACAGCATACCGCTCGTGACCAGGGAACGTAGTGGTGACGCCAAGGTCCTGGAGGCAGCCGACACCAACTAGGTTCCTGGAGAACGAGGGGATATGCAGACCTGTGAGAGAGCCCGAAGGAACCGCCGGACAGGGAAGGGTGGTGGAACTGCGGGCGACTACCGGACCGCCGGAGGGGTCAGCAAGAGAAACGGCAGCTGGAACAGGAAGCGGCGTCAGGGTGGTGGAGTCGCGGAAGAAACACCGAGAAGCGCCAGAGTCCAAGGTGAAGGAAATCGAAGCAGAGTCGTCTGGCGACGGAACGACAGCGGAAGCACCAAGACTACACAAAGCAGGGGATCCTACGCCTGACGCAGCAAGGGAGGCTAAGCTAGGCACACCTACACTAGGCAACAGTGAGTAATAAGCTGGAAGCACACTAGAGTCATCAGCATACATCACATGCAGAGCAGAAACAATGGCATCCATGTCCATATCAAAAATCTGAATCTTACGACTAAGCAAACTGTGCCAGTCCGGGAGGTCTGGCGACGGGCCGAAGCGCTGACGAAAGAGGTCGTCCAGGCGACGAAAACAGCGGGGAGTTGAGTGACCGATATTACCGCAAACGAAGCCGCGGCGAGGACCGGTCTGGATCTGGTACTGACAACGCCCGCCGCCAGAGCCACCACTTGGCACACCACCACGCGCCCGGCCACTGCCAGCGCCGGGCCACCCGGGCGGGAGTACACTCGTCTGCCGCGTCTGCGACGGCTGTTGCGGCTGCTGCGAAGGCTGTGACTGCGGCGGCTGCTGCGGCTACTGCAACTGCAGGGGCGGCGGCTCAGCTGGACTGGGCAGGGTCCCCTCGTCCGCTCCAGCACCAGACGACCCGACCCCACCACTACCCCCTCCCGCACCCCCGCCGCCGCCTCCGCCGCACCCAACCTTGGGGCGGCGGCCCTTCCCCGAACGAAACTGCGCTGCAGCAGCAGTCTCAGCCACTGCGGCAGAGCCGTCGGAGAAGGTACACTGGGCGGGGGCACAACCCTGAAAGATAGGGACCGGCACGACACCGCTCGCCTGGGCGATGGAGCGGTGACGGGTCTCTATTACAGTCAGGGTGTCTACAAAGTCAGTGAGGGTGAGGTCTACGGGGTGAATGCTAAGGAAGCGGTCGCGGGCGACAGCAAGGCGGTCAGGGAGGCAGCTGGCAAGCAGGTAGAGGGTAGAGGTAATGGGCGGCTGGTGGGCTCTGAGCTGTGCATTAGTGCAGGTTGCGCGCCAGGTCTCGTCTATCGAGCGCAGGTGGGCAGCGAGGTCAGAGACAGTGGGGAAAGAGGCAAGGTGAGGAAAGAGCATCGGGAGGATCAGGCGACCCACCGAGGCAGCCGGAGGGGTGGAATAGCGCTGGATGACAGCATCTAAGTATGCCTGAGCAGTGGTGAGAGACCTAAAGCGAGGGCGCTCGGACGGGGGAAGGGCGTTGCTAATGGCAAGCTGGGCGACAGCATCGCGAGAAAGCCAGACAGAGCGCGCACGGGCAGTGGCAGCAGTGGACTCGCGCTCAGTGGGTGTGGAGTCAGCGGGCAGAATAGTAGGGGGGTCTGGGCAGGGGAGCGTACCGTCAAGGTGTGCGGAAAGCGGTTCACCATCCTGCCGCTGGCCAGTGAGTTGGCGACAGAGGTCGGCAAGCCACGCCTCGAACTCCAGAGGCTGGCCTTCAACGTCGAAGCGAAGCTCCGCCGCCATCAGGAACAGTGCAGTGCGGTGCAGGGCAGTGCAGCAAGGTGGAGTGCGGTGCCGTGCGGTACAGTGCGGTGCAGTGCGGTGTACGGCGGTGCAGTGCGGTGCCAGGCAGTACAGGGTGGTGCGGGGCGGTGCAGTGCGGGGCAGTACGGGGCAGGGCAGTGCAGGGCGGGGGGGGGGGGGGAACCGTACCAGTGAGGAGGACCGGGGCCGGGGCAGGGACGAGCGCAAGGGCCGGGCCGGTGCAACGGGGCCGGGCGGGTGCGACGGGGCCGGGCGGGGCGACGGGGCCGGGCGAGGCGACGGGGCCGGGCCAGTGCGACGGGGCCGGGCGAGCAGGACGGTGGCCCATGAGGGGCGCACCGGGGCTGGGCGGGCGCGACGGGGCCGGACGGGTGCGACGGGGCCGGGCGGCTGCGACGGGGCCGGGCAGGGGGCGACGGGGCCGGTCGGGTGCGACGGGGCCGGGCGGGCGCGACGGGGCCGGGCTGGGGCGACGGGGCCGGGCGGGTGCGTCGGGGCCGGGCTGGTGCGACGGGGCCGGGCGGGGCGACGGGGCCGGGCCAGTGCGACGGGGCCGGGCGAGCAGGACGGTGGCCCATGAGGGGCGCACCGGGGCTGGGCGGGCGCGACGGGGCCGGACGGGTGCGACGGGGCTGGGCGGCTGCGACGGGGCCGGGCAGGGGGCGACGGGGCCGGTCGGGTGCGACGGGGCCGGGCGGGCGTGACGGGGCCGGGCTGGTGCGACGGGGCCGGGCAGGTGCGACGGGGCCTGAAGGCGTGACGGGGCCCAGGAGGGGGCTCGACGCGGCCCAGGAGGGGCACGACGGGGCCCAGGAGGGGCGCTACAGGGGCCCAGGAGGGGCGCGACGGGGCCCAGGAGGGGCGCAACGGAGCCCAGGAGGGGCGCGACGAGGCCCAGGAGGGGCGCTACGGGGCCTAGGAGGGGCGCGACGGGGCCTAGGAGGGGCGCTACGGGGCCCAGGAGGGGCGCGACGGGGCCTGGGAGCGGCGCGACGGGGCCTGGGAGGGGCGCGACGAGGCCCAGGAGGGGCGCTACAGGGCCCAGGAAGGGCGCGACGGGGCCCAGGAGGGGCGCTACGGGGCCCAGGAGGGGCGCGACGGGGCCCAGGAGGGGCGCTACGGAGCCCAGGAGGGGCGCGACGGGGCCTGGGAGGGGCGCGACGGGGCCCAGGAGGGGCGCTACAGGGCCCAGGAAGGGCGCGACGGGGCTAGGGGGGTCGCGACGGGGCTAGGGGCACGACGGGGCTAGGCTAGGGGGGCGAGCGGAAGCGGTAGGTGGGGGGGGGGATCCTAACCTACGCGTGATACCATATCAGAATTAGAGAAGTGAATAATGATAGAGTGAGAGTACACACAGATGTACTTAAGTGTTGTACCCTCTAAGAGGCGACCCTATATAGTCTATACAAACATGACAAATACACATGTTTGACACGTAGCTCTATCCTCTGCTGAAGCTGATTTCATAGATGCTTGCACAATTACTCGCGAAGGTCTCTATCTAAAAGAACTACTGGAGGAGGCAAGATTGACGACAAGTACACAATTTACCCTGCAGTGCGACAACCAAAGCGCAATCAGAATTGCGCACCAATCCGGTTTCGCCAACATGACGAAACACATTTCGCTACGATACTTCTTCGTCAAATGTGAAGTCGAGAAGGGGAGAATGCGATTGGTCTACTACTCGACCAATGAAATGACTGCAGATTTCCTCACCAAGAAGCTGACACGTCAGAAGTTCCAGTATTGCAACGAACTCTGCGGAATTATCAAGCTACACTATCGGACTTCCAGAAATGAAGGGAAGTGTTGTGATAAAATCGTACTTAAGCATTTCTGTAAGTAGTTCCGATAGATATTGTCGAGTTATACTCTACCTAGCATCCGTAGAATGACGTCAGCAAATAGCGCTCGTCTGGATGATTACGCCAGCATGCCGTTTCAGTCACATGAACAGTTGCGCCCCTTTCAGTAGCGATTACAGTGCATAGCGCAAGTAGTTTTGAACAGGTACATTACTGAACAGTTACCTTAAAAGAGTAGTTCGTATGAATTTAATCATCAACTTGTTCTTTAGTAAATTCTGGTCAACACTTACAAGTTCTAAGACTTCCGCTATCTTACTAGTCTACAATTCCAGCAAAGATCCTTGCTCAAGTCTTGAAGTATCACAAGGTTGTAACACTGATTCTGGTGTTATAACTTGTTAATACTGGTTGTTACTGGAGGTACTTCCAGTATTATTTTCTACTTTAAGTACTTTTGTCTGGAGATTCTATACTTAGTCTTCTACACCATTTTTCAAATCCTTACAATATTGAGCCTTGTTTTTATTGAGATTTTTGTATAATATTTGATTAGAATAAATCAGTCTCTCTTTTTGCATCTAAGAGCTGGTGAGGTCACGTGTTTTCATAGAATTCTTAGATTTCGTTCTATTTATAGTGCAATTGGCACTATTCTTTTCTTCCACAGCTATTTTGTAGGCGCCAGATGATTGTTGCGGTTGACTGTATTGTTGACCAGTCAATCAAACAGAATTCCGTTTTTGTACCGCCCTCCAGCCCGTCACTAAGCGCGGTTTCCTCTCCGGTTCAACCGGGAAACATTCCATGCGACACAGGAAATCAGTCTGTATGTCACCGTCTCCGCCGTCCAATTCTGCCGCAGTCAGTCGTCCACGCCAAAATCGGCTGAATGTCATCCGTCCAGACTCCTTTCCCGCCACGAGACTGTCTCATGTTGGCCTTCAACCAGCACCTCGAGATCAAATGCGACCGTTCGACGTTACTGCTGGCTGCGCGAAAATAGTTCTCGTTATCACACGCTGGGCGTTTCGTCTTCTTCCCTTTCCTCCCCACCGCCTCTTCGCCAGCCAGTTTGTTCCCTTATCGCCAGAAATCCCTTCAGCTGCATCCCTTCGCCAGTGTCAGGCGAACAGAGGCAGTTCGGCTAGTAACGAACTCTGGTGTGATGTCCAAAGAAGATGAAACGAATCCCGAAGCTTTCACCTCTCCCCTACCATATGTATATATGAGCTGCCTAGATCTTTTTTCACACAGCACTCTCCGGCGCACGGCACTTTCTCTACCATACATTAGTTCTAACTGTAGAAGATTATATGCCTCGATGGCGCGGCTCATCCGCGCAATGTCTACACTCTCTATCCTCCTCCTCCTCGCGGTCGTAGGGATTCCTTCTGCATCTGCGACAGTCGACCTGTACACCGTATGTGGCCGGCAGGAGGCAAAGGACGGTACGGTATCGTTCAAAGTAGTCACGTACAACACGCTGCTCCCCATC